GCCCCCAGCAGCCCCCAGCAGGGGCCAAGCACCAAGACAGTGGTTTTGTGCAGGAGCCGCAGAGCGTGGGCTCAGCACAAGAGGGATTTTCCTGCTAAAGCAGTTGGGGGAGGGGGGAAAGCACGTGAAAGATCACTAATCCCCTAATCCCTGGATTATGGCTCCATTTCAGGGGCTGGGATTTGCCAGTAGTGTGGGGGCTACACTATCCACTGCATTCACTTAGCCTGTGCACAGGGTCCCACTGGCACAGGGCATGGCCTAGGGGTGCATGGCACAGCAGAGGGGACTCTCTGGCACCGAGGGGGCAGCATGGCAGCAGATCTTGGTTGCTCCTGCAGACAGAATGGGGCTCAGAGTCAGGCTGAGGGGGTCTGACACCCCCCGGCACAGCACCAGCCAAACCCTGCACAGGGCCTCAGCAAGGAGTTTGGGGAGGAGAAGAGAACCTGCCATGACCATGATGCCATGGGGCCCCAGCGCATTGCACTCAGCCAGGGCTGCAGAGAGGCCTGGGGTGGCCAAACACAGCCCAAGGCAGTGCCCAGGGTGCCAGGGAAGGAGGCTGACAATCTGAGGCTGCAGCCAACAGGAGAGGCACGGGCAGAGGAGCGATGGGACAGAGGGAGGCAGGTGGCTTTCCCCAGGCACGGGGACTGGTGAACAGCTGCAAGTGGCCCCCAAGCCTGGGCACAAGCAGGAGCCTGGCATCAGGCCAGGCATGGCATCAGTGCCCCACTTACTGCAAGCTGCACGGGAATCACGAGGGGAAGAACCAGATATGACAACACCGCACAGCACCCCTGCCAGACCGTGAGCTGGCACAGGCCCACAACCCAGCAATGCCCATCCCCACCGCCCAGTCCCTCCCACAGCTGCCCCAGGACAGTCTGCTGAGCTGTGCTGAGGGACTCTGAGGAGCCAGTGCGCACAGCACCCAGTAACAGCAATGGCTAGAAACCACATCACAGACCCATAACAGCCCACAGTCACAGCATTTGCACTGCTGCAACCCATAGCCACGGCCTCCTGCACCACTGCAAACTGGCCCATGCCCACTGCAGACCCTAGGCTCTCTGAGGCCCACCCACCGTGTCCCTGCTCCCAGACCCCCTGCACTGACTGCATAGGGCAGCACAGAGGGAGGCTGTAACTGGGGAGCTGCTGCGTGGCCACCACACAGGGCCAGTCTCAGCCCCCCCCAGGGGGACCATCCCAGCAGCAGCTCCCTGGGCAGGTGTCTCTGCAGTCAGGCTTGCAGATCTGCAACTTTGTCCTGTCAGAAGCAGCAGTCAACCCTCTCATGACTGAGACACGTGTTCGAGGCTCTGGGAAACCTTCTGACAGTGCAGACTGGACAACCTCACAGCAGCCTTCCCAGGAAGTGAGCACTGCTGCGCTCTGGAGATGCCTTTTGGCACATTGCACTTTCCAGGGCTGCCTGCAGTGATCCCTGAGCTCCATGTGCAGTGTGCCCAGCCCCACACCCTACTCAGACTAGAAGCCCAGCTGTTCCAGGAGCTGGGCCCAGCCCCACGCCAGGGTGCCAGAGGCAGGGCTCAGCAGGGTGCTCTCTGCAGCACTGACAGCTCAAGGGCACAAGGCCAGGCAGCCCGGAGAAGCAAGAAGAGCGGCTGGGATGAGAGAGGCCCAGAAAGGCGGTGGGTGAGGGCCTGTGGCAGGATGCTCATCAGGGTATGTGGGGCCACCAGGAAGGGCAGCGATGCACACACGCAGCAAGGGGAGGTGCTGACACCGCTGCATGCTCTGCACTGCTCTGTTCTGCCAGGTGCACAAGGATGACAGCCAGTTGATCTCAAATTTAATAAGAGGCTCTGCTGAGTCCCCCCCCTCACACTCTGCCACCACCAGGGAACAGCTACGTGTCCCCTACCTCGCAGCTCATTAGAGGTGCTGGCTGACCACTTCGCAGCTCCACTGCCTGCAGTGCTGGGTCTGCGGCGGAAAGCCTCGAGCACTCAGCTCAGCCTGCAGCCCCAGTCCTACCAGCCCAGGGAGCAGCATGCGCCTGGGACAGCACCCATGGCACCACAGTAAGACAGAGCGGCACAGCATGCCATGGGCTCCACACAGCACATGGTCCTGCCACCACCACCAGAGCAGATACAGAGTCTGGAGGTAGCACAAGTGCCAGCTAAGACCTGCCCTACCACCAGCTTCAGGTGTGGGACAGGACATGAAGGGGGAGGGCAGGACAGTGTCCCAGGGGCTGGGATCACAGCTATGGGGCCCCAAGGAGCCGGTGTCAGTGACCAGAGGGCCAAGAGCAGGAGGGCAGCAATGGGGTAGAGCAGGAAGGCTGTGAACTCCTGCATCGGTGAGAGCCCCCGTGCAGTCCGCAGCTGACACGGTGGCCCCGGCTGCCCTGCCCAGATGTCTCATCGGCAGCAGGGCCGAGCGTGGGCTGAGGTAGCCACGCGCCAGACCGTGAGCTGGCACAGGCCCACAACCCAGCAATGCCCATCCCCACCGCCCAGTCCCTCCCACAGCTGCCCCAGGACAGTCTGCTGAGCTGTGCTGAGGGACTCTGAGGAGCCAGTGCGCACAGCACCCAGTAACAGCAATGGCTAGAAACCACATCACAGACCCATAACAGCCCACAGTCACAGCATTTGCACTGCTGCAACCCATAGCCACGGCCTCCTGCACCACTGCAAACTGGCCCATGCCCACTGCAGACCCTAGGCTCTCTGAGGCCCACCCACCGTGTCCCTGCTCCCAGACCCCCTGCACTGACTGCATAGGGCAGCACAGAGGGAGGCTGTAACTGGGGAGCTGCTGCGTGGCCACCACACAGGGCCAGTCTCAGCCCCCCCCAGGGGGACCATCCCAGCAGCAGCTCCCTGGGCAGGTGTCTCTGCAGTCAGGCTTGCAGATCTGCAACTTTGTCCTGTCAGAAGCAGCAGTCAACCCTCTCATGACTGAGACACGTGTTCGAGGCTCTGGGAAACCTTCTGACAGTGCAGACTGGACAACCTCACAGCAGCCTTCCCAGGAAGTGAGCACTGCTGCGCTCTGGAGATGCCTTTTGGCACATTGCACTTTCCAGGGCTGCCTG